AGCGACCAGTATGCTCCCTTGGTTTTGTGGAGATATGCGCTTGCGATATTATTTTATTTATAGTAATTCTAGTAAGCAATCAGTAAGTGCCCCTGGTTGTGTGGGGATAGGTGCTTGCGTTATTATTTTATTTATAGTAATTTAAGTAAGCGACCAGTAAGTGCCCCTGGTTGTGTGGGGATAGGTGCTTGCGTTATTGCTTGGACCGCAATCTGCGTATACGCGGTACGATGCTGCTCTAAAGTGGGTGCTCCGCGTGCGCGGACTGTCCAGCTTTTGCTGCATCCGCAATTTGCGTACGCGGTACAAGACACCCATATACAAGTCAGATACTTCTCGCGCGTGACTTACAGACTTGCGTAAGGAATTGGGATCAGTAGCGCAATCTCTTGGCTGTTTGAGAAAATCGTACCATTTTTATATATGTACTTCATCCGTCTATGTGTTTATTGTATACTCGTTCTCAAAGTCTGCTCGAGCCAACTTGACGGCAAAAAAGCACCAATCTAGTTCGGGGCACAATGTCGCCGACCCTCTGTGAGCATAATATGTGTGTTGTATGTATACTCGTCAGGGAAATTTCAAATTCAAAAAATATACTCCAGTACAGATTTTACACACATATCAACTGAAGCGGAAAGAAATATGTTAAGTTGTTTAATAAAAATAAAAGTTAATTAGGTACGTGGGTAGTTTTGATAAAAGTATGTAAATTTACTACTTAGTTGAGTTTTTTGAACATGGCGATATCGGGCCCAAAAGTTTCCTAATGCAGCTTATTTGATCCCCCAAATTTAAAAAAAAATTGTGAACCATATATATATATCGGGAATCCATTAATTTTACACAGATCTGAGCTTACAGACTTTATATATTTTCTATTTTACAGTATTTAATTAACAGCCTACAGTTTTTTTTTGTAAAATGACTCATACATATGATACATACAAGTAAGTATACTTACATACCTCATATATGATATAATTATGTGCCCCGAATTCCCAAATATATATTCGACAGTGTTTTCGCGGCTCTTTTTCTCATCAGTCATTTAATTGCTAGCTGTATAAAGGTTTAAATAAATTGTACTTGATTAAGTAAGCACACTTCAGCACTTATGAAAGTCTGAAAATTAAAATAAGAAGAAAAAAAAACATTAAAAAGTGAAAAGAAAAGCAAGCTCTTGAATATATGTTATACTTAACCTCGTTCAAAAAGGCTTACTTGTCTACTACTGTACTTTATACATTTGAGAAGGGAACGCTATACATAAGGTACAAAACGTATACATATCTCACCCCTATTGACATAAAAAGTCTCGAAACAGCAGCATAAGGATTGTAAAGTGTCGATCAACCCTCAAAGTGGTGCAACAACGGAAACGTTGACACAATGTCGGGGAGGCTAGGTGCGGCTGGCGGTGGTGATGTGTTTACAAATGTCATCCACACTGGCAGTACCGACCTGCTACAGCAAGCACTCCAGCAAATAGTGAACGACGAGGATGAGCAAAATCGTCTTCAACAGCAAAACAATAGTTTAATGGCTTTTTTACAAAACAGTGAGGGTAGTGATGTACCCCAGGTGATACAGCTGAGTACGGAGCAGGCTGCTGCTCTGGGTATCAATTTCAGCAAGCTTGAAAACAATGTGACTATTGAACAGGCAAGTGATGATTGTGGGACTGAGTATGTGGTCCAGGAGTGCAGTGCCGAGGATGTACAGCAGTCACAGCTTAGTCAAGAGGAGACCCAGAGGTTACTCAACGAGTTGGTGCAAAGTGGACTGCTCAAGAGAAAAGAGGAGGTGGCCCAGGAAGTTGTATTTGAGGACTGGAATGTGCAGCAGCAGCAGCAACAACAACAACAACAAAAGTATAAAATCATTCTATTTGATGTGCAGTTGTTATAATGTGGTGGATTGTAATATTTCGTTGGAATTAAAATATTCATGTTTTAGAGTAAGATGTGTAATTTCAATTGAGTTTTAAGTTATTTGATAGTTAAATACTGAAGTAACCTGATAATAATGTAAATGAATTTTAAAGAAATCATTGAAACAAGTATTTTCTCGTTTTTCTGTAGTTTAGTAATATTGACGAATTTTGACATCCTTTAGCTCACATCTTTTACATGGACTTGGATATTTTTCAATATTATTTGGGTTACATAATGTTTAAATATTATGATCAAATTTTTGTTTATTGTGTTCCAGTGAGAAATAAATGATGGGAAATAAACGAGAAACCACTACCAACTTATTGACCTAAGCATTAACTGCTTGAATTTTACTTTTCTACAAAATTATTATTTCTAGTTGATTTGCGTTGGTGTGCATAAACAGTTTTTATGTTCATTTATTTATTTTCCTTACAGTTTTTGTACTATTAGAAATAGTTGACAAATTTTTTAACAAGTTAAATTTTTTTCACTTTTTTCATTTTTATCTGTTTTCAATCCATTTTATCCTACAATATTTTACACAGCAAGTCTTGAAAATCTAATTTACTACAAAGTTACTACACTAGTTGCGCGTGAGGTACTCATCATAAATCATTTCCTTATTACATATTTCAACAAAATTTATTATTTTTAAATAAGTTTTTATATATTTATTTTGTACCATATTTTATGAATGTCTGTATAAGCCTTAATAACATAAATCAATCTCCTAAAAATTTTAGTACTACTTTACACTTTACTTAAGTATTATAAAAAATATACATTCTGATAACTATGCATATATAAGTAAAGAGTTAGATGCGATTTTTTTCAGTAAGAGCAAAAAATTGGATTTGTATTCTCGTCTTATGCCAACTTACAGATCAAACAAAAAAATAACATAAGATGAAAATTTGTTTAACTGATTTCTGAAAATCTAGGATAATTGATCCAAAATGGTGAAATTACAAAAAGTTAAAATGAATCAAAAACAGTCAAAAAGATTTGATTACATACTTTTTGTATAAAACATGCTTTGTACATGTGATCCAAAAAATTATTTTGTCAACCTCGGAAACCTCGTTCCTAGTATGAAGCACATTATTTTCAAATACTTATAACATAAAAATTTGTTTAAACAATGAAATGTCGGTTCCACGCATAAAAATAAAACATATATTTCCAGCAATCACAATGAACACTACAAACAAAATTTACAAGAACCAAATATAGCCATGGAGTCCATTGCAATAGGAGAAAATTCCAATCACCAAACAGGTCAAATTGAAGAACAAACGAGTAATTTTCTTCACATACAATCAAATCGACCAGATGAACTCGTGCAAGAGCAAAGTATTCCAAAGAGCATGGAAGCGCAACGCAACAAAAACACACCACAAAACACGATACAGTTTAGTATAGCTTCGAGTAATCCTCAAGTGTGCAGCGTCTCGGAATCACAGGCTCAGATACTCCAGAGGTTTCCAGTGATCCTACCATCGTCTCAGTTCATCATTGAGCCAGCACAAACAGTTCTCACGCCCATGAAAAGCATAAGGATATTGCCCAGTCCGACCAAAGCTAGTAATGCTCAGACTTCAAAAAATTCCTTACTTCTGCCAAAAACTACTATATTAAGAAACATGTCACCACAATTGATCAAGGCTGTGCCCGTTGGAACGCAGTTTCTCAGTACAGCAAATAACATATCAACGCAGTTGTTAAATGCTTCGCAATTAATTTCCAAAGCCAACAACGGTAGCTGTAGTATTATTAGTGGTAGTAGTGGTAGTAATCGGTTAGTCAACGATTCTCTAGTTACAACTCGTGTCAGTAACGTACCTTCGACTACACAGCATTTGGTAAGTGTTAGAAAATGAAATGACCTATTTTTAAACAAATATCTAATAATTCCATGCATTTGGCAGATTCGCCAGGCGTCAGTACAAAGACCTGGGCAGACGCAAGCCCGGCAGAGGCCAAATCAGCAGCAGTACTTCACACCCATTCTAAAGGCCAATACCCTCGCGTCAAATGGCATTACTGTGGTGAGAAATACTCCCCTCCTAAACAGCAACGCGATGAAACAGAGTAGCACCACACCGGTGTTGAAATCGATTAATCCCTCGGTGCTGAAAACGAGCTTGTTAAAAAATCCCGTGGCAATATCGTTGCCGGTATCAAAGACCGGCAACTCGCCAGTGATAGTGACGACCCCCGTGATGAAAACCATTGATCCCTTACAGCCCTCGAAATCGATAAATCCATCCATCATAAGGAGGAAAATGTCTAGCACGCCGGTTTCAATTTTGAAACCCCAGATCAAGGCTGCGAACAATAGTTTGATCAAACAAAATCTAACGAGTCTTCTGAGCAACAAGAAGCCGCTGGAACTCAATGGCGGGCTGAAGCCCCTGGTAACGGCTAAACTAAAGCAAAGCGTCAACTCGCTCATGAAGAGTATTAAAAATAAGCCGATCACGCAGAAATTGGTGACAGTCAAGCAGGACCCGATTGATGCGGTTAATGACTCATTGGGGTCGAGCGACAATCCTGTACAGATCGTCCAACAAGGCGACACGTATCATAGGTGAGTTGAATTTTCATTTTTTCTTTTTTTTATTTATTTTTTTTTTTTTCTTCTCTTGGATGATTGTTATGGGTATAGTTATTGATTTTGGTAGTGCTGAGTAAAATGATTGAACGGGATGGTGGATGATGAAACAAAAACCCAAGGACAGAATTTTTTTTACTTCACACCATTCGATTTTAGATTTGTAATTCGAAAATTTCCCCCTAAACAAAAAAAGTCGCGTTCCAAACAAATAGTTGAAAAAATAAACAAATAAATAACCAAGCAGTTTTACGCGAATTGCAGCGTGAATCGTTTGACGCAAGCCCAGCTGAAAGTGATAGCCGAAGCTCTGCAGCAGAGGAACCAAAATTCTGCGAATTCCAAAGAAAAAATTCTGTACAGGTGAGAAGTATGTGGATAATAAAAAAATAATACTCAACTATCAACGTTAACGAAAAATATATATCACAGGCTCAGTTTCAACGACGAATTAGATTTGAGGATGTTGCAAAAAGCGGATGTGAATTCGAGCAAAAACAGCAAGCGCGGCAGGCCCAAAAAGGGGTCCGCCAAAGCATCCGTTGTACCCGTCAAATCAGAAGAACAGAGCGAGTCAAAGGTACGAGCACTTTACAATTTTTTTTTTTTTTAATCTCCACGTTCAAAAAAATGTTAATCTGTTAAAATGTTATCTTTGGTTGTAGGACGATCGCAACAAGATCGTAGCGCGCACGAGATCGGGCAGACTGTCGAGGCCACCGCGACACATGGTGCGGGACTACAAACACCTAAATCACGTCGATCTCACGCAACCCGACCTCGATGATTCGGGCGGAGGCTACAGTGATTATACCACGAGCAACGGTGTTGGGGCCACCAGAAAATTTTCCCAAGAGGACGAGGGCCCTAACCAGAGAACGGAACTACTGGCTGGGGTAGAGATGCCCAAGCGAAAGGTACCAGACATTTCCAAGTGTCCCACGTGCAACAAGGTTTACCTAGGGAGATCGAGAATAGCCAAGCATTTCGAGATGAATCCGGACCATGGTAGCTTGGACTCCGTCGAAGCTGAACTGAAGCAGGTACTGTTTGAGATGAGCTCGTGGCGAAGCTCCGATAGATTATTATTTATTCACGTTACGTTTCAGCAGACAACCCCACATGACTCGTTGAAGCGTAAAGGAAAAAAACGCGGCCCCTGGGCGTACACGACACCCGAGGCGAAGTCAGAGCGCCGGCAGCTCAAGCTTCGCGAGGCCATGTCTGCGTGCGAGAGTTCGGAAATAGCCAAAGTCGCTGCTAAACCAGTCGTCAGTTCTCTATCCCTTTTCGACCTTCTGATACTCAAATCCGAAAACAATGTGCGCACCTTTCTGTCGGAAATCAAACAACTCGTCGAACGTGTTCGCGAAAAGACGAGTACAATGCTAACCGCCGTTGGCAACGAGAATGACGATCAAGTGGTTGATTTGAACGAAGAGTTGCTGTGCGATGTTTTGGAGCTGAATTCGGGCTTCTACAGGGTCAACGAGCCTCTCGTTACCGAGGAAGCTGAGACGGAGAGCAGTACCGAGCCGCCTCTGAAGATGCAAAAGACCGATGATCATTTCGAAGAAGGTAAAACTTGATTTTATAACGCAATAGCTGTAGCTATCAAAGTAAAGTTACACGAATGCTTTTTTCTTTTTTTTTTTTTTTTTTTTTTTTTTTTTTTTTAGCTAAAGAGAACGTAGAGGAGAGTGGTTATTCCGAGAGCTCCAATTTCAGCGTCTGTGACTTGTTTAACGAGCGAAGAAGCGAATCCCAGACGAAGTCCAGCTGTCCCGAGGTCCTCAGTGCTCTCACGCTTGTACCGCGAAATTCCTATACGAATCATGAAAGCGAGGCTTCATCCAAATCAAGCAGTACTCCGAAAGGGGTCTTGAGCTCAGGTGTAGAGATCAATACTACGGATACTCCTGGATTCCAAAAGCTCAGTATCAACGCCGAGACGAGGGCGAATCTCAACTTTGTGAAGGAAGGAGCGTTCACAAAATTGGGCGATTCACTGGAACCTGTCTGCAACGATGTCTTCACAAAGTTCAATGGTAACTTTAACCAATCGAAGATGAAGGGCATGCAAAGGACGTTTATCAAGTTGGAACCGACCGAGGAAGGATTCATCAAGTTGGGTAAGTGAACATTTTATTGATACTTGCGATTGATGACGATTCAATGGTAGGTTGAGCAATAAATTTATGAGTAAATCGATAGAGAACGGAATGATTGGTGGATTCCACGAAGAAATGGAAGACTTTGGAAAAATTCAGAGCAACGGCTTCCACTTCGTGTCAAGCAGCATATCAGATAATTTTAATGGCAAGGGCTTCCGCAAACTAGTTCCTAAAGCAATGACAGCGAACGAAGCTTCGGTTCTCAGACACGAGAACTTCGAAATTATGGACAGCAGCAGTAGCAATCATGAAGTCAACGAAAACTCGATTCAAATAACGACGAGCAGTAACAGTAACAGCAGCATATCTGACGCGACACACATCTTCGAGTCGACTGACAGCCTGGACATCTCGAAGATGACAAATTACGATCACATCGCACATTTGGATATGCTGAACGAGAGCGGCGCGATTGACAAGAATCTCATGATGGATGAAAAACTCGTCGAGCACTTGCAACTCGTCAACAGTTCCAACATCAATATTGTCGATGAGCTCGTCTCTGAGAGGCTGAAGAGCGTTATGCCTGATGGTATGCTAGAAAACGATTTGATGCACCACAATGGCAGTTTGGATACAGATTTGGATTTCGAAGAGTTGAGCGAAGAGTTTAATAGAAACACCAGAAGTTGATAAAGGATGCTCTGACTGTATTATTATTTTGTTTGTGCGAGTTGATGTGTCGTTGAAAAAAGTTGATTGTTTTTCTTTGGAAGTGTCAAGGTCAGTAGATTATTAATTTTATTGCGTAAATGATTAGTATTGAGATCACGTAGGAGTGTGGGAAAACAGTATTATCCTTAGAATGAATTTAACTTATTGATTCTAAGCAAAAGTGAAATAGTCTTCTGTCATTTTTTTTGAATTTTAATTGAATTACTTTTAAAACTTTTTACAACCCAATTTCATACAATATTAAATAAGAACTGAGATTTTTATTTTTTTGGCCTTTAACATTGTTCAGTAAAACACTTAAGTTTTCTTTCAATTATGAACTTTACCTTCTCCTATTCTCTCAAGTATTGCACTTCTTGTTAGTGTACAATTTAAATATTTAATACTTTATTACAAAATCGTTTACGTGCAAAAAAATATTTTTATTTAATATTAAATATAGCTCGTAGTAATATTTTACTTGTTAAGTGTGTGAACCCACGTGACTGAAATATAAATTCACAAAGATGTTACATATTTTTAATATAAATTTATAATTGAAAAATGCATCGTATGTTAGCATGAATGGTTGGTAAATATTTGAGTAAGGTTGGTAATTTGAAAAACAGCTCTCTGGTAACAGAGAGGTATTCTAGTCTGAATCAAATTTTTCAATGCTGAAATAAATTCTTTTTTAACTAATCTGACAAAGAAGTCACACTATTTATCATTCCTCACATAATATTCTTTGTTTGAATGACGATCTCAGTTAAAAATGTAATATATATTTTTGTCAAACTGTGTCTAATCTTGGAATGGAAAAATAAAAAACGATTGAAACTATGGTAAAACATTTTCATTTATCTGTAATTATGTACAAAAATATTGTAACTGTGCAATATACACAAAATGACTATAAAAGTACGTTATCTCAACTTAGTTTCGACAAGCATGGACTCCAAATTAATATTTAAGTTATCAGGTAGTTGTGTTTGGTGTACCCAGGCTGCAAGGTTCAACATTTTCATGGCATCTCTATGGTCGTGCGCCACGTTTTCCAATATAATTTGTTTCACTTCAGCCTCCTTTTTGTACGATTCGTAAATCATATGAGCTGTAGCAACTGTAACGTTTAAAAAATGATTTAATTGAAATCAATCATCATCACACAGTAGTGTCCACACATACCAAACTTATCCACAGGCCACGTTGAAAACAAATGATCACTACTCTTGTGCAATTTAGATATGGATTTCATCTGATTGACTATTTGTCCAAAAGCTTCAACAATGTTGTCCTGCATGAAAGCAACAATCATCAAATTCACATAAAAAAGAAAAGAAGGTATTAATGTTTCCTCCTACTCACAAGCTTATTGCAAACTTGAGTCAAATTTTCACAAGGTTGTTTCAACTTTTCTGGATAACTATTGTCAGTTTTCAAGCTGGTGATTGTTTTCAGAAGTGACAGGCCATTCAAGTGCAGTGTGTTCCACTGTTGAATATTGGAATGTATGGCAGCTGTCAAGTCGCGCACGATCCTCGGGTTTCCTGTTAAATTCTTCCCTTGAACGGTTTTAGCTCTCGGAGATACTACAAGAACAACAGTTAACTTTTTATTCACCTACTCTGAAAAATATAACACACTTTTTTTTCCTTCAAAGAAAATCAACGCATAATTTCCTGAACAGCACTGTAGGGAACTTTAAGTATTAACTTTTCTTACTCGCAACTGGAGAAAATTGCAACGACTTGTTCGGTGTAGTAGTCATCTCTTAAACAAATCTCTTTTTGCACAATCATAAAGACACCAAATAAACTTACAACGCTTGTAAATATATTGTATTTCCCGTCATGTATATTTAGGAGGTTAGGAAAGTCACATAGGTATGTTCGGGGACCGAGATTGGGCGCACGCCGTCAAGTTCGGGCGACTCCCGTTAACTATCAGCTGTTCTGTTTAACTGAAGTTACAATGTAAAGTATGGAAGCAATGGAAGTAAGACGATTGTTTCATATTTTCGTTTTCTTCTTCATCTTCGACGATTGTATATATATATATACACTTGTATACATACTTGTGCTTGTGGTATTTAAAAATAGTTCAAAAACCGGCCTGCAGGATGCGCTGCACACAACTCCGAAAATTTTCGAACTTTGAAAAAAAAAAAAAAAAAAAATAGAACCAAGAAGTAAATAACCATTGTTTATTGTCACGACATCAATGTACACTTATAAGATACTAATAAGTATAATTTTCGATTCCACACTTTTCGAGAGTCAAAAAAGTTTACACGATAAAAACCAAAATTATTATAATTATTACCATCGACTCCAAATAGGATATACCTTCGCTCGGGCGATAAAATTCCCATTCGCGTGTAAATAACCAACATTTTTCAAAACACGAGTTACGTTTTGGACAGGCACGTGAAATTGGATTTCACGCACAGAGAGTTGGAATAATTTTACTGTATACATCTTTCACTCGCGACTTATTAGCGTGAAATCGTTACACCACAGCCGAGCGATCGCTACGTATACAATAGTTGCAGAGATAATCCGTTTAATCTTTCGTACGTGAAATTCTTCTTGTTGGGTCGAAGGGGATGGGGGGGGGGGAGTACTTACCCAATTTGTTGCGGCTCGATTAGAGAGAGCTGTACTTTTTTTTGTCCCGATGAGGGATGGACGAGTCGAGTTGGCCGCAAATGAGGTGTACGCGTGTTTTTTTCCCTTTGTCGGTCTCTTCGCGCGTGTGTCTTACAACGACAATGACAATTTGCTGTTACGTCGGTGAAAATTAAAAAAATATTTGGTAGGTACTGGTTTAACGACGATTACGTGAGCGTTTCGTTCTTTTGTGTTTGCGATTATAACAATGAGATTCCCAAAATCGGCGGCTCTCCTCTCCAGACTTCAACATTGATAACTCGTTCATTTTTTTATTTTTTTATTTTTTTTTTCCTAAGTGTGTAATGTAATTTCATCATCTAATTCTTAAATATATATATATATATATATATGTATATTATAAACTTGATTGTCTTAACTGTATTGGACAGAAAAAAATTGTTATCAATATTGTACGTCTCAGTATTATTACGTTAAAAATCGATAATCCTGTGAAATGTGTTTTGATCTCAAATATTATTTTTGAACATAACGAACAAGAGTAAGAAATTATATATAAATTATTTTTCGTCGAATCGTACGTATATTACCGAAGGTCCTCGCAAAAACACAAGGAAGGGCAAAGAGCTATACATCACAGGACTCTCGATAGCCATGGGACTACATACTTCAGTGTGGCCGCAGCCGTCGGGCCGCGAACGAGGTTGCCTTGTCCTTACGCATAATATATCTTACCTACCTTAACAATAACCATGTGCTACACGTACGTTTCGAAAACGGCTGAAAGCAGTGGTTTATGTTTTTTTTTTTTGTAAAATTTTTTTAAAATAAAATTTGAATAATTTTTTTTTTTGCGCTGAAGCAACTTTACAAAAGGTACGAATTCAAAAGGGAAAATGGTGGTGGGTGGCGTATAAATACACAGGTGATAACTTAACAATAATTTAAGTATATCATGAGAAGCACAGTGGGAAGGATGGAGTAAAAGATGCGCTCAGTGCGATAAAGCTGGGCCGGTACCGTTAACGTTACGCTTTACGGGGCCGTATTATATATATATACTTATACAGTGCCCCTCTCTTTTGCCCATCAGGGATATATATACCTATACCTACATTACGTGGGTACATAAAGTAGGTACGTGGTACCTTATTATTATGGATTTGTGAACACTTTGAAAGAAGAAAAAGTGCATTTTCTTGAACGTAGTATATTATGTATTTTCACCGAATAAATTCTTTGTACGTCACCATAAATTCACAATATAGTATTAAATAAGTTTAGCCCAAAGTAAGTATTTGAAACCATTGTTTTTTCTGAAAAATCTTTTACTCATTAATAATAAGAAATATTAAAGTTTATTCTAACGTATTTAAATATGAGTGGAAAAAAAAATTCTTAGTATAAACAATGCCTCGTACTTTTAACAAAACATTTAAAAAGTATATATATGTGCCCAAGTCTGCTTGTAATTTTATAAGAACATACCTACCAGTATTCTCGAATTGGATTTTGGATTTAATTTTTTCAAGCATCTCATAATTGTTTCAGTTTGGAAGTTCGTTAGAACTGTTTATTTTCAAACTCGTAGAGTTCAACAGTTTCATGTATCGGTTAATTTATTAATCGAAAACCATTTGTAAAATACACGTGATATCATTCAACTGACGATAAAGTTAGGTATCACGTCCACACCTTGGTACAATCGGACGATGATGTGCAAGAGCGAGCGCGAAAAGTGCAATTCAGCATTCGCGATGTGGTGATAAGATAACAATTTTCTGATTTATCGTTAAAAGAATGTGTTAAGAAACAGGGGATCGCATCGATATATACATATACATATGTATATGGCTAGCTGTTAAATTATATTTATTTATTTATTGTTTTAGTTTTACGTATTATACACAAACGACTTAAGTTGCGTGGATATATTAAAAAAAAACAAAGTGTAAAACCAGTGATATTTTTTAACAAGTTCGAAAGTTTTTCGCAAAATTTAAAAAATGTACATTATACGTCCGTTGAATGAAAAATAGTGAATACACCGAGTTCCATTTTTTTTGTAAGGAAACAAAGACCATAAATATTTACGGAAGACTAAATGATCCCAGTCACGTGTCCAAGAGTTGACCAATTGATTCTACTATAAAATTTGTCACGTGTAATTTAAAAGTGTCGAAAATCGTGGACGAACCTAAAACGTTATAATCTTTCTAAAGTACCAGAAAAGGTGCCTCGTGTCAACATCTTTTTGATATCAAAGAGAAGTAAAAAAAAATCTTTGAGAAAAAAACTATTTGTGATACTAAAAAAGTAATGAAATTTTCCTAAAATGACCCAGTTGCCGGTTCTCAGTTGGTTAAGTATATTATTCAACAACTTTATACCCCTTTCCCGACTGTAACACGGCTACTTTTTTCATTTTTTGTGGAAACCCTCATTGCGTTATTTATGCTAAAGCATTTTTAAAAATTATTATTTGAACCAAAATGTTCATCGAATTTGATTCCAGCAAAAAATAGAACTTGACAATTTGAAAGAAAAAGCAATTTCGAAAAAAAAAGGGTAAAAATATTTGATTTTAAGTACTTAACAATAAACTTTGATTTAGAAAATGTACCGAACTTTTCTGCCCGAAAAACATTTTTTTCTATATTGCATTATAAATAGTGATGAATAAAAAATTCTTTTTCTCTCAAAAATAATCGCGCCCAAGTCAGCCTCCGTCAATTTCTCCAATCAAGCAAAACTGCACCCGACCGACCGCGAAGCAGCTACTACCTTGAAAAAATGACGCGAAATCCATCCGACGATCGGCCGAAAGCATAAATCACCTGCATCATCAACGGTTAAGAGAAAAAGAGAGAGCCCAGACCAGACACCGCCACCACATTGTGTACTTACCTGTGCATGGCCTCTTCATATATACCAAACGAGAGCCTACACGGAGCCAGTCTTTCTCCGACCAGCGAGCGCGTACGTGTGTACTTACCGAGCGCATCTGGATCACCGGCGCGCTTCGTACGCCTATTTGTTTATAACATAATTAGCACACGTAAGAAGGTGTCTTGAAATATTCGCACGCGTTTTTTTTCTTTTTTTTTTAATTTCTCTGTTTCTTTTGGAAAAAAATCGAACCAAGCGCCAGGTGGTCTATGCCAGTTATAGCCCCGGGACACCTGCTGCTTCGTAGTTGACTCTCTTTTCGGTGATACTCAGTGCAGTGCATGTTTGTATCATACGCGAGAGTAAAGAGGAAGAGACGCGTGCTGGAGTCGATTTTCACCAACGATCGCTGCTGTCATTAGCGACTATGAAGATCGAGGTAAGTTGTTGTTGTTTTTTTTATTTTATTGTTTAAACGCAAAGGGTTATTGGGGTACTTTTTTTTATTCGTGGTTTCTTCGAGTGGCAGATGATTCGGTTTATTGATTGTGCACAGTTTTTTTTTTTTTTTTTTTTTTTTTTTTTGTAAAATTTTTTTAAAATAAAATTTGAATAATTTTTTTTTTTGCGCTGAAGCAACTTTACAAAAGGTACGAATTCAAAAGGGAAAATGGTGGTGGGTGGCGTATAAATACACAGGTGATAACTTAACAATAATTTAAGTATATCATGAGAAGCACAGTGGGAAGGATGGAGTAAAAGATGCGCTCAGTGCGATAAAGCTGGGCCGGTACCGTTAACGTTACGCTTTACGGGGCCGTATTATATATATATACTTATACAGTGCCCCTCTCTTTTGCCCATCAGGGATATATATACCTATACCTACATTACGTGGGTACATAAAGTAGGTACGTGGTACCTTATTATTATGGATTTGTGAACACTTTGAAAGAAGAAAAAGTGCATTTTCTTGAACGTAGTATATTATGTATTTTCACCGAATAAATTCTTTGTACGTCACCATAAATTCACAATATAGTATTAAATAAGTTTAGCCCAAAGTAAGTATTTGAAACCATTGTTTTTTCTGAAAAATCTTTTACTCATTAATAATAAGAAATATTAAAGTTTATTCTAACGTATTTAAATATGAGTGGAAAAAAAAATTCTTAGTATAAACAATGCCTCGTACTTTTAACAAAACATTTAAAAAGTATATATATGTGCCCAAGTCTGCTTGTAATTTTATAAGAACATACCTACCAGTATTCTCGAATTGGATTTTGGATTTAATTTTTTCAAGCATCTCA